ATCAGTAAGTTGTGTTTCGTTTTCTTCCCATATACGCTTTACCTTCAGGTTTTGGAAAATCAGAATGTTTCGTTTACTCGTTGTGAATCAGGAAACTCGCCGACGAAGCAGAATCCAAAAACAGAACCAGAGTCTTCATCAGAGGATGAAGATAAAGACAACATTGGTAAGTCAATGTATAGAGACTCTTGATTTCTTGCTGTTTCAAGAACATCTACAAGGTCTAATATATGGTATACGTTTATATAAATAGCAAAACTACAGAGAAAGAAACTTGTGAAGAAGAAGATCCTTGAAGCAGAAGCAGAGTCTTTTTCATCAGATCAGTCTTGTTTCGTTGCACATGTAACAGATTCGAATCTACGAGAGGATAGACTGGTTGGTACTTCAGATCTACCGCTGGTTCCTTTTGAGAGCCATAAAAGTTCTTACTCATTGGTTTAAATCTTAATATTGCAGTTTCTTCCAAAGAAGTTTGTTTGGTCCGATGGTCTGAATAAAGGAATCAACAAGATTTCTCTAATGGATGAAGGAGTAAGGACATGGACGCTTAATCTGATGTTTAGGAAGTCAAGTGGAACCTTTTACATGAGGCACGGCTGGACAAGTTTCTGCCACGAGAATGGGCTTAAACCCGGAGATTCTGTCACGTTTAAACAAGAGAGAAACAACATGAGAACGCCTCTTCTCCGTTTCTCCACTTCGGAATCAAAGTGTGTATTCACAGAAGATAGCAGCAAAGAGAAGAAGAGAAAAACTGGTGAGAGTAGTCAAAGTAGAGTGTCATCTGAACTAAGTGAAAACCGATTTGTGACACTAACTGTCACACCAGCGAGTCTCAAAGACCCTAGACTTGTAAGTTAAAGTAAACTCTCTTGGAGGAGTTTTGGTCCCTTGTTTTTTGGTTATTGATGTTTTGTGAAGTGCTTTTAAGCTTATTGTCTCCTTCTTACACAGTATCTTCCAGTGAGCTTCACTAGGGCTCACAAGATGGAAAAGGCAGGAGGGCAGGAGATAACTCTTTTGGACAAGCATGGAGTAGAGTGGCCAGCGTATCTATGCATGGCAGGCAATACGAGTTTGCGTTTTGGTTCAGGATTGAAAGAATTCTTCAAGGCTATTGGCGTTAAGGCGTACGAATCTTTTGTGTTGGAGTTGGTTTGGGAAGACAAAACGAAACCTCCTATCCTCAAGTTCTGCTCCAAGATCAAGGCATGATGACTCTTATTTGCACCCAATTAAGTTGTTTAATAACTATGGCTTGTTTTAGTGAACTCATTATCTATGTAGTATGGATCTGATGACTAGTTTGATAAGAGAACATATCTTATCTACTTTAAGGGTCTTGAAAACCAGTAAGAACAATAGATATTCTCAACCAACTCTTTTTCTGTACCCTTAGGCTTGTACCAAATGATCTAGTTATATATAAAAGCAAGTGAAAGAAAAACCATTCATCAAACTTSAAGATACTTGTCAAAACAGAATCAATGTTTGTAACTTTAATAACAGAGGATAATGTTTTTATCGCGTTATAAATATGAAGTGAGAAGATTACCCGACCTAGCTGCAATGCAAACTGATCAACCACAGCCATAGCTTGAGAAGCTGAACAAATTGATCCATATATCATAGCTGCAAAGAACACGATAAAATCAAAGCGTTTAGGTGTTTCGTAAGCATATTATTGGCTCTAGACTGAAATGTAAGAAGAAAATATGCAATTGAGCAGAGTGTGTAGTGCAATCACAGAGCAACAAATATGTAAACCGCTGTTTGCAAACAAGTATTCTCCATTCTCCAAGCATAAAGAATAAAAACCAGAAGAATGTTTTGGAAAGAAACATACCTTGTAAAACCAAATAACAAAGATACATGAAAATAATCAATGACCTTGCTTTAGCTCAACTAGATAGAGATCAATCACTACAAGAAAACATTATCTTAAAAGAAATACTAACTCTCAATTTGGTTCAGTTTGCTTTACTCACCTAGTTTAATTTAAATTTGATTGGGTTATTTAAACGTGTGCCGTGGCACTGTAAACGGAAAACATACGCCTTCTTTTACAAGTTAACAGATGTACGAAACACTAACGAGTATTTAAAATTATAACTTCAATCTCTAGTCGTTTTCATTTGCC